TTTTAATATTGAAAAAGTTATATTTTAGTACCCCAAAAAATATAGAGGACTATTATAATCTAGGCATCTTCTTGAGGCATAATTTGATGCCTTGATTAGATTCCGGAGTTGAGAATAGTAAAAAAAAAAAAAAAAAAAACTGTTCATAGACACCACACTTGCCCCACCAAATTGCTTGTTGAATATTTTCCTAGTAACGCTAGGCTGACAAAAAAGAGAACTCAAAAGAATGTATTAAATGGTGTGGTATTACCATAACGGTAATGTTGGTCTCACTTTCCTCTAGTCCGCAATTGCCTGGATGGTGCGGACTTATAGGTCCTTTTCTGTCAAGTGTGTTTGAGTTGTGTGATATGTGGATTTTGTGTGTATTTGACCTAAAAAAGAATGTTGGTCTCACTTTTGTGCATTTAAAATTTAAAATTTGTTTATTATAGCAATGTCACATTATTTGATCCATATTTTTTGTTTAAATATAATATTTACTTATATTTTTTTCACAATATCTCCTAAAACCACTATCAAATAGCCCCTATGTAAAAGGAATTTGTCCTCTGGGAGGTATTCTCTTTGTTTGCTTTTTCAAGTGATCAAAGAATCATATTTATACATCAAGCAATCCAAAAACAAATTTTATGAGGGGTCTAAAAAAAAGTTAAGGGTTGATGGAGGAGAAAGGAAGGATTTACATTGAAAATGAACCCTTTTAAGGGCTGGTTGGTAAGTTTTACTATTTTCGAATTAGATTGGATTAGGTAGACCAATCCAAACTCATTGAATTAAATTTTTGGGATAAGTTTTGATAGGAATATTATCATATCCCATGTTTGGAAATTGTAGGATTGGAATAAAAAAACATGTGAGCTCTATAATGTGACATAAATCAAATGTTCTGTATTGCAATGCTGTCTTTTGACTTTAATACCATTCATCCACTCAATTTTTATTCAATACAAGGACATTTTAGTAATTTAGACCCTAATCCCAATGGAACAATTTGAACTATCTTAAAACTCAAATATATGGAGTAAAATTCACTATTCATATTGGGTTGGGGATAGCCCAATTGTTTAATTCTCCTCGGGTTATGTGGGATTCTGGACTATTTTTGTTTTAATATTACAAATTTAAAACCTTTCTGAAGAACCGACCTTAGCTCAGTTGGTAGAGCGGAGGACTGTAGTGGAAACAACAACGATAGCTATCCTTTAGGTCGCTGGTTCGAATCCGGCAGGTCGGATTTTTTGTTCTTTTCCGAGGATGCTTTTTGCACTTCTATATCCTCAATCCGAGATTTCTTTCTTTTATTACTTTCATTTTTTTTTTATTATTAAAAGGATTGAACCACAAAAGTGGTAAGAATAATTATTGATAAAAATACTCATAAAAGTGATTAAAAAAAACCTATAAAAGTAATAAATCACCCACAAAAATTGTAATTTTTTTTTTATTAAAATAGAAAAAAAAATTCGATAGTTCAAGTCAAGTCCCGATTCATAGTGTGTTAATTTTTATTATAGATTCATAAGATAATAATTGTTAGTGGAGAGAAAGCATAGAGTAGCTCTTACTTTTGTGTGTGATTCATTTAATTTATTTACCTAATTTACTAACATACTTATTCATAACCATTAGATTGATAGTAATCCTTAATATTTATTGAAATCCGCAACTAATCCAATAATTGTGATAGATTATGTCGACAAATTATGCTATCAAAATTAGGCTTAAATATCATTATTAGTCAACTAATGAAGCAACAGCTGAAGCAAAAACATGGACTACAATTACAAGAAGTACACACTACGCATTTGAAGGTAGTAAGGTACAATGTAATAATCAAACTAAAATGTTAAATGGGTGCTCTCTATCTCCCACAACGAGGAAATGAGACCCCTCTTCAATAACCATCAAACCATCCTTGTTAGCTTTACTAAGGTGCTTGCAAGGGTTCAATACAAATTCAATTTCAGCTCTTTCCCCTGCACTCAATCTCACACTCTCGAATCCAACCAACTGTTTCATTGGATTCCCTTCACCAACCTTGGGCTGCCTCACAAATAGTAATACTGCATGCTTACCGGCCATCTCCCCATGATTTGTGACTCCAACAATAGCTGAGAATTTCATCTTCTTACAGAACTCTATCCCGATTTCTGAAACTGATGTGTAACGATTGGAATCTGAGGTTTCGACAGCCTGAGTTGTTGAGGACTGATTAAGGTGGAGCTTGTTTTGTATAACGGACACGAACTCATAAGTGTAGTTTGAGTAGCTAAGACCATAGCCGAATTCATAAACTTTTCTGCCATTGTAAAATCTGTAAGTGCGTCCAGGGTAGCCTGAGGAAGGTTCAGGCCTCATCCTCATGTCTGTCATTAGTACTCTGGTGAAATCTTTTGATACCAAGTGACAGGTAACTTTCCTCCTGCATTGACAAAAAGAAGTGCACCATCAAAGTATTGAATCAGTTGGTTCTTTAAGTAGTGTGTTTCAAACTGTGAAGTGTGAACAACTTGTGTTTTGCATTATGTTGTTAATAAATTTTACCCGGGTTATGGTCACCAAAGATGATTTCTGCTAGTGCAATCCCTCCTGCTTCGCCTGGATAACCACCCCACAAGATGCTTCCAATTTTTGGGTCATTTTTCGCAAAAGTAATATCAACCGGACCTCCACAAAGCAGCACCAAGACAACAGGTTTCTTTGCAGCATTAGCAATGCTCGTGACAAGACTTTCTTGCTTCCCTGGAAGCACCAATTCCATGCGATCATGGTTCTCCCTCTCTTGACTTTGATCCAACCCCATTACTAGTATCACATAATCTACCTCTTTTGCCAGGTTCATTGTTTCATTGATTGCAAGAGAAGTACAGTTCACAGCTGAATTGCAACCCGGGTGATACAATACATTTTTTACATAACTCTGCAGTCCTTGCAACGTTGTGACGTTTTTGCAAGGAAAACCTTCATAATTTCCAACTAGTGTTTGTGTGCTATTGGCGTTGGGGCCTATAACAGCAATAGACATGGTTTTGGTCTTTGAAAGTGGGAGGAGCCTGTCAGAGTTCTTTAAAAGGACAATCCCATTTCGAGCAGATTCAAGGGCTAGTTCCTGGTGCTCTTGGGTGCACACCTGGCTTGGACCGATATCACCGAAAAGCTGTTTGCTTGGGTCACCATTGAACAGCCCTAGCCGCATTCTAACAGAGAAAAGGTTGTGGAGGGCTCTGTCTATCTCAGATTCTGGCAATTTTTTCTGTTGAACTGCTGATATGGTATATTTCCTCAAGTAAGAACCACAGTCAACATCCATGCCTGTGACATCATTTGTTTTGGACAAATTATACGGTAAATTTATTAGTTCAATCAATGAAGTTTGTTAGAAATTCATCTATGGATGTATTTGTAGAAGGATGAAATGTACCAGCTTTAAGAACATCCGCAACTGCGTCTTCTGGTAATTTAGCATAACCTTGAACGTCATGAATGATTGAGACAGCATCACAGTCCGAGGTAATGTATCTGTTCAAAAGAAAAGGCAATATATCAGTGGTATTGATAACGTAATCTTGAACCTGAATTCATTTATTCGGAACAAATTTACCCTTGAAAACTCCATTGTCCACGAGCCACATGGGATAAAAGATTATGATCAGCACAGTTTGGAACCCCATTAACACGATTGTATGCGCACATTATCCCACTGGCTTCCCCTTGTTTTATGCAGCTCTCAAATGGTGGCTGGTAAGTATCTGCCAAATCCTGCATCGTGACCTGAACAACCCAAACCAACAACATTGAAAAGAAAGGAAAAACACCAAGAAAAATTATTTAACAAAGTATGTTGCTACATAGAAGATCAAATATAAAAATATCTTAAAAGTCACCAAATTAACAAGCAAAGGGAGTACACAGAAGAATGTGATTCTCTACCCCCTAAAATACAGTTAAGTAAAGCACAGTGCAACCTAAACTTCTTGCTTCTGTGAACCATGTTATTAGAGTTCCATCAATTTGTTCTACTTTTTCTTTTACCAAACATAAATAAAACTTACAAAAATGAAAATCAATGTTGGAAAAATATCCTCAAACCAAGCTCAGATAAATACAAAATTCAACGAAGGACTCCCACCTGTCTAATCCTTTTTATTTTCATGTGGATGATTTCTGAAGGGTAAGATGGATCTATTTTAATGTATTTTCTCTCCATTTTTTTTCATGACCACTTACCATGAATTCCAGTGGAACAATTGTATAAGTGAGGCATCACTAATGCACTCTGGGTGTTTTACTAAGGAGTGAATTGGAGAAAAAAAGTATCGGAGTGAATTTGGATCTGAGACCCACTACACTAATTGGGGAAAAAACTGAACAGCAAAAACAACAGCATTAAGTAAAGACCATAAGGTTAGAGACTTACATGAGCATCAAAGCCATAACGATTGACACCATTCCAGCTATCCAAATCATAAGCAGTGAAGTGCTTGCAACAAGCAGAGGCCTGAAGTTGTCCATCCTTGAGCTGCCCACCTTCAAAACTATCCCCTTGCAAGCCTCTAACAAAAGACACTGCATACTTCCCAGCAACCAATGGGTCTTCCCCAGGTGTCTCCTGCCCTCTCCCCCACCTTGGGTCCCTAAACACATTTATATTTGGTGCCCAAAATGTCATCCCTCCCGCTTGCCCTTCGTTGTAAATTGCTCTAGCCTCTGTTCCAATTGCCTGCACACATTCCCAATGATAAATTAGGATCCTTGTCATCACTTTTTTGTCCAACTCAGTGATTCTTCCTCAATTGGATGAAAAACAAATTAGTTAGAAACTAGGAGAAATCATTTTCTTCTAGGAAAACAGTGACACAAAAGGTGAAAAAAATTAGGTGATACATAACAGCCTCCTTTGGTAATTTACAATTTATACTCTTTAATTTGGGTCAAGTTTCAATTTGGTCACTCATATTCCACTTGAAATGAAGCCTCAATTCAAATCTTCTTATTTCCATATAATTGATGTAACACATTCCGTACCCAAAGTCATTTCTCCAATCAAGCATTCTGGACTATGATCAGCGGAAAATAAACAAGCTAAAGACACTCAAAACTAGTTCCTTAGGACCAAAGAAACAGACAATGGCTCTTCAATTCGAGAATATTTGCCTCAAGATCAAAAATAAATTCAGTACATTCAAGAACAACAAAAAATTTCTTTGGGGGCCAAAAAGTTCTATAAGATAATTGGAAATATTATTTTAGTTTGTGTTGTATGGTGTGATTTATTTGAAATACCAAATAAAGAAGGTCATGAATAGAAAGTTTAGAAACTCAACTAAAACCTTGAGTACTTGGATTGTTCTAACAAAAATTTGAGAGATCAAATTGAAACTTGATCCATTGTTAAAGGGTATAAATTGTAAATTACCCTTACTCCTTTACATGTTGAGCATTCAAAGGAAGATGATATTGATATTTGCTAGATTTTTGCATATCTAACTGTTACGGAAAATTTATTACCATCATTAACTACAGATTATGTCTCTTTTTTGGAAATTTAAATACAGATTATGCCATGTTAAAAAAAAAAAAAAGTGGAGCCAATATGGTTTTCAAATATTATAGCTGTGTACGAGTTAACTCAAACATGGACTCACCTTGCCAATACGATACCAGAGATTGGCATCGAAGGAAGCAGCCGAGAGAATCACTTGAGGAAACATCGTGGCAGAAGAAATAGTCCCATTGAACCGGATGCCATGTCCATGCCTAGAAACACCATGCAAAGCTTCTGACCACCACTGGTATGCGGAAATGCCGAGTCGAGGAATCTCCGGCGCTGTGGTAACGAGTTGGGAGATCTTTTCGTCCAGTGTGAGGCGAGAGATGAGGTCTTCGACTCGCTGGGGGATGGGTAACGCTGAGTTACAAAATGGGTAAGATTTGGTAGGTGGGTTGGACGAGTCACAAGAGAACGGAGGCTGAGCAGACTCAGCACAGAATATGAGTGTCGAGATCAAAATGAGATTGGTAAGAGCATTTCTTTGGACTCTCATTTTTTGTTATGTTGCTGAGAGAGAGAGAGGTGATTGGTGAAGTGAAGCCTTTCATCATATATAAGGACAAGAAGGTGACTGAGCTGGTATTGGTTTGCATGGGAGGAAGCTCTATGGCGCCTAGTGGAGGATTTTGAAAAGAGGAAAGGATGGGCATGTGAACTTCGCGAAAATTTTTAGAAAGGAAAATGCAGCATCGGCTTAAAAAATGTATTTGATAATTATATTTCATTAAATTCAATTAAATGTAATTATCAAATACATTTTTTAAATTCAAATAACATTTCTCAAATTATAAACTTAACGGTTGATTTCATCATTTAATAAAAATATAATAAATAAACAAATAAATTTCATACAATTCAATAACTATTCGATTGACGAAAGCCAATAATCATTTGTGTAAGGAAAAATGCTATTTGGATCTTATTTTGTGACTTTTTTTAGAGAAATAATAATGCACAACTCAAATAATTCAATGATTATATTAAAACTCAACTAATTCAATGATTATATTAATAATTGTAACTGATTTTGTGTAATTGTGTTGGTGTAATGTTGATATAAAAAAAGAGAATAAGGAGAGAGAGTAGGGTGAGAGAAAATAAGGGAGAGAGAGGAAAAAATCAAATTAAATCTTTATATATGTGAAAATAAAATAAATTATCAATAAGAGAGACAGAGAGAAAAAAAAATATGAGAGATATAGAAAGAGTAACGGCGAGAAAGAGATAGAAAAAAATAGGGCAGAAAGAGTGATAGAGTAATGGAGATAGAGAGAGTAACAGTCTCAGAAATAGAAGAAAGAGAGTGAAAAAATAAGAATTATATATAATTTAAGGAAGGGTAAGTAAGTAAAATAAATAAAAAGGTCATTTAAATTTTGTACCTAATTACAAAATATTTTATTAAAATTGAACTTAATAAAGTAAACAACTTATTCATACACTTTTTCTCAAATAAGTCTAAAAAAAATATAAAAATATGAAAAAATATTCCATTTGACGAGTCTTGATCCCGTAGCAGCCCAATCCCATTTGGGAGTGTCGCAAATGACTATCAAGCTAAATATTAAGTGGTTGTGACATATTTATAATAATTGAGAAACAAATACCATGTCACTTTTCTAAAATTTCTTGAGCTACATATCAAACCAAAATCGTGTTCACTCTCTATTTTTCAAAAAATCAATTCTTATTGTATTTTTTTTTTTTTTGGTCTGTGGTCAAAATATGAATTGTTTAAGCATGTTTTTTTATTATTGGTTATTTTAAGGATTCATGTAAGATTTGATATGTGATCTATTAAGATTTTGTTTTTAGTATCCAATTGATCTTCTTTACTATTTCAATATTTTCTTTCTATAGCTAGTTTATCTTTAAATCTCGTGAGATTGTCTTTCCTAAAATAGCTATGTGGTTCATGTTGTTTCACTTTGAAAGATTATTGAAAAAATTATGACACTTGATTTCTTTTTCATATTTCATTAAGATATTGAACTTTAATTGACAACCCATCAACACAAGTATGCCACAAATTCAAACCCATTTATTAGTATCTTCAAATTAGTAGTAAAACTATTTGTCACTTACTTCTCAACTTCTTTTCAAGAGGAAGCCTTATACACTTGTACAACCAATTTTTTTTATTTATATTCTCACTCGTGGTTAAAAATGTATTTTCAATAAATTTTATTATATTTCTTTTGTTTAAGAGGTTACACAAATTGGTTGAAATTCTAATTCTATGCCAATTTATTTTTAATTCTACACATTTTTTTTTATGTATAATTCTTCACTGCTCCTCGATAACTTGCTCAAAATCAGCTATTCAACTTTAAAAAATGGAGTGAAATCCCCTTCAATACACTTTCAATTTCCTACAAGTAGATCATGTACTTTGAATTCAAAGATTCACCTTTATAAATAACTCCTAAAACCACACACATACACAGGATCTACTGTTGAAAAAATCTTAAGAACTACTGCACAAGTAGATGAATCTGAATCCCAAAAAAAATTGCTTATCCCTTGAAATTTACAGAGCCTTTCATAATCTGTTCTATGATACGATAAATATGGTCAATGGCAACCCAAGAACACTGTTCTGTGGCATTGGTTCTTTTGAAGCAGCTCAAAGTGGCATTGTCCTTTTGAAAAACCTCCCTGGCACCCCACTTTCCAAGACCAAAAGAGAGTACCCAGTATAATAGATCCTGATGCCGATGCCCACATTTTTTCCTCCACAACTATCGAGGCTATGCTTGCAAAAGCTTTGTACACGCCACAAAGAATTCAACTAGAACTTGTGAAAAGCTTGCAAAAGCTTTGGCTCCAAGGTTTAACCTAGAACTTGTGGCTCCAAGGTTTCAACTAGAACTTGTTAACATATAGTTCAGTAATCTTCTACCATATACGATGTCTCTATTCAACTACCCACCAGATGAAAAATGAAAACGTATTTACCTGAGAGAAAGATTGCCATGCACCAATATACAAGACCTGCAAGTGAGTCTTCCCATTGAATTGCCACCTGTAACAATTCAATAGTGAGAAAAAAAGTAGTGCTAACCTTTTTGATCAAATATATCAGTTCCATCACACACTACTTGTGACATCCAACCCCATACTAATGACAACACTCACCCACATTCAACTATTTCCAATCACTGTATATACTCATTACTTCTCAAGTGTATGATTCCTAAAACTGGTCGCTACAAGCTTTATTTTTGCTTTTCTTATCTTTTCTTTCTCAAGTACATGTTTCATAATATAATGCACTCAAAAGATGAAAAGTACAAAAGCAATACACATCAAGAGCCATGTTCATATATATTAGATAACCATAACTTGCAGTAAGTTGACTACTAGAAACTACAAAACTTTGGCCAGAAATCTGCATCTTTGAAAAGTGCTTCTACTTTCTCAATACTTGTTAATATGACCAAATCAGTTTACCAAAAAAATATTGAACTACAGAATTGTGTCTAAAGCAAGCATTCCAGTCCTCAATCAACACTACTGTTTATGCAGGCACCCCATAATGCGAATCAAACAAAAGGAGAATCAATAGTAACAACCCCATGCAATAGCCCATTGATCCTAACTCACAATAATAGTAGTCCACAATTATAAATAAGCTGAAAGCATGAAAAGATAAGGCTCGAACAAAGTTACCTCTTCACAAGAGCTTGTCATAGAATAGTTGCAACACATCGTCACCTAAACAGATAAGCAATCCCGAGTTCAGTACATGATTGTACTTCACATCACGGAGAGGATGCTTCCAAGATTTAAGACGTTGAGCAACCATTAACGACGGCAAATCTTGCAATAGCAATTCATGTGTTACTTCATCTCCAAAAACAAATGACCGGTGATTATTTCTGTCGACAATTGCTGATTTTTGCAGTCGGACAACATCTAAATTGGCACATGTAGATCCTAACTTTTGATAACAATTGTTACCCAATCTCCTGTAAAGAACATGAAAGCCCTGGACTCCTTGACCCAGGGAAGAAGCGGATGGAGTAAGCAAAGGTTGGGAAATATCCAGGTCACCAGCAATCTCAACTTTGGGACGGAACGAAGCAACAATATCATCAGTTCTAGGACAATAAGCAAGAGATACACAAACTCCTTGATTCTCCGATTCAGGTATCAAAAATTGCCTTCAACAAAAGTCAATAGATTATTAAAAAATTCCATCACAATGCAGACAGAGAAACAGTCTCGGAATTCCAAAACACCATCAACCTTCGGTAATCAAAAAGACAAAATTGTATTATTTAGAGTACAGATGAAAAAATATTTGTTCACATGATTGGTATTCCTATCTCAAAAAGGCACCATATTCAGAAATTTGACAAAGTTGCCGGGCACTGTTAACTATTGATTCCAACAAGTTGTCATCCAAAAGCAATCAAACCTCACATTTACACCAACAAAATGCATGTGTCAATGGAACAGCAGGGGATTGCAAATCTACCCACATCAAGACAAGATTAGCAATTTGCCAACAATTCCTTGGACAAAAATACCACATATGACATATCATACAAGAACTTGGTAAAACATTTTAAGTGCCCAAAAAAACTTGTTAAAAAATTGTCATTTAAAAATTTCTTCCTCTCAATAGATCCTGCTGTAACACCTATGATCTGAACGTTAATAAATAAGATGGACTATGTTATTTGGTGGTTTTGAAATGGTTGTAGTAAAAATGTTGGTTTGAAAATGCGCAAATACACATTAAGGGTAAAATCGTCCAATAAAAGTATCGGCGGATCGAATTTTGGGAAAAAGAGAAATTTCTTAGATTTAGAAAATCATTAAATTTTATAACTTCATATTTAGGTAAAAAAAACAATTTCGATATTAGGGTTTAAACCTAATTCCCCATGCATGTTGGAGGCTTGACACCTCACTAAGAGAGGTGTCTCCCTCATGTGTGTTCTTATCCATGCAAGGGAATGATGGCAGTATTTGAAGAGAGCGTTTTAAGGGGCTGGGGCTAACAAGTCGATTGTCCAAGAGAGAAGCAAGAAACGGGAGAGAGAAGCTTGAAGAGGTCAAAGTGAGATCTCTATACACATAACCTTCAGCAAAACCATTAGAGTCTATAGTTCAAACTTCAAACCTTGTTGTGGTCTGCGTAGGGAGAACCAGTGTTATTTAAGGCGTAAAGCGAACCGAAGCGACCAAGGCTCCTAACGCCTAGGCGAGAAGCGAGAAGCGAAGCGACACGCTTTACCGAAGCAAAGCGAACAGTTAAAAAAAATATATATTTTAGTTTAATTACTTCTAAACAATCTAAGTTCTAATTTTATATATACTAAATATTTAAATGCAAGTAAAACCATAAACATTTAAATTAAAACAAACACTAATAATATCTCAAATCTTAATAACAGTCATAACTTAAACATTTAAATTCAAACAAATACTAACAATTGTATACATTTTCATATTTACAAGGTAGGACAACAAAAGAAGCAAAATCAGGACAGCAGCAGAATCAGCAACAAAAAAAAAGAAGCAGAATGAGGATAAAAAAAACAGAAGCAACACAGGACAGCAAAACCGAAGTAGCAACAGAATCAAAAAAAAAAATAGAAGCAAAATGAGCTAAAAAAAAAAAAACAGAAGCACAATGATCATGACAGGAGCAGAATCAATTGTAAACAATTTCATATGTAATTATGTACTGAATAAAAAAAAACAGAACAGAGGCACATTTCATATGTACTAAAATAATTAAACATGGTATAAGCATAGACCACTTTTTGGTACCATTTGTATATATATAAGAAAAGAGAAAAGTATAACCAAGACATATCAGAAACACTTCTTTGTAGAAGACTCTATTATTTACCCCCATTCTTGATACTCCTGCTTCCTTTTTCTATCATAATTTTGTCATGCAGTCGCCTGACTCCCACATCCCACAAATATTCTAAATGAATTCAGCAACACAAGGAAAAAAAAAGGAATGTGTTTTGTTCGAAACATTGTTTATTAGAAAAAAAATAAAATAAAATAGACCAGCAATAGTCTAAAAAAAAAGTCATTAGTGATTAAAAAATAAAAGAGACTACTAAAATGTAATCAGAAAAAAAAAAAAAAAAAAAGTGAAGCAGAATCGCCTCTTATAATAAAGCGTTCGCTTTTTCGCTTTTTCTCGCTTTTTTTTCGCTTCCCTCACGTTTGCTTCGCCTGGGGTCCTCCAGGCGAGATAAACTCGCCTCGCCTCGCTTCTCGCCTAGGCGAGCTTTTCAAAACACTGGGGAGAACCATCAAACCCTAATTTAAGCTTTATGTTTGTTTTTAATGGGTCTTTGAAAACATTGGTTTTAAACTCAAAAGGGGACTATGTCTAATGTTTTTGGGGGCCAGAAGTCCATTTCTGGGCTCTATTTGAGCAAAAATGGTCATTTAATTGGTAAAAATCTAGTTGTAGATCTCCCTGAATGAAAAACCATTTTCAGTTCAACTTTGAGCTAATTTTCATGGGTTTCTAGATTGGGTTTGCACAACCTAACACTTGAATCTGAAGAAAAAAAAAAAAAGGGGTAGCTAGCTCTCTCTCTCTCTCTCTATCTTTAGCATCATATATCAACTTGGAGAACATTTTGATTTATTGTAGTGTGGATTAAGGAGCAGCTCCTCCATGTTGTGGCTGTAGGGGGTGGGGACTGTCACCGCCTGACAAAGGCAGAAACGGGGTCCACCGGAGCTATTTGCGTTGAGTGTGTCAATTGAAAAGCACAAGGGAGACAACTCAAATATCCATTGCTCGATTTTCCTGCATATTCTGCTCCCAAAATACAAAGAGACTTGTGAGGGCAAATCCAAGGGTGAAAGAGGTGTAGAATGGCATTCGAATCAATCAATTTGGTTGAGAAAGGAGGGCAGATCCAAGGGTGAAAGAAGCATAGAATGGCGTTCAAATCAACCAATTTGGTTGATAAAGGAGGGAGAACAAAGGTTGAGAAATAGAGGTGGTCAAAAAAGGAAGAAGATGGTGGAGGAGCAACCCACACCGACAGAGCATGAGGGGGCGTGGGTAGGTGCTCAAATTTTCACTTACACGCATATTCTAACCCTACCCAACCCTAACCGACCCGACTGATCGGCTTCCGCAAAAAATCGGGTAGGCTAATGAAAACATTTTTGGAATTTTGTAAAAAATTGGGTAGGAATGCTGAATATCCACGAAATTTCCGTCCTCCAACCCTACCCTACCCGCACATATATTTACATATTAAAAAAAAATACAAAATGACGTCGTTTAAGCCCACATATAAATTGAAGCACCCACTCTTCATCGATCGAAGCCAAAAGCCACACACAAGCATCCCAAGTTCTCTCTCTCTCTCTCTCTCTCTCTCTCTCTCTCTCTCTCTCTCTTTTTATGAATGTATGCCCCATTTCTGTAACTAGCCGGTATATGATTGAGCATGAGAAATTTTCCAAAAATACACCCATTTAATTTCAGAAAATTTTGCTCTTATAAGGATTATCAAATTTGAGGTTTTATGTCTTTGATCTGATATAGGTTTTTATTCTGTCACCTTCATCTTGTTTACTGCTTGGTAATACTTTGAACAAACTAAGAAAGACCTAATTTGAAAATTTTCAGAAAATCTATTCTTTAAAGGATTGCCAAATTTGAATTTCCTTTTTCTATTTTTTTTGTTCCCAGTTTCTGTTTCTGATTCTGATTTTTGTTTCTGCTTTCTTGTTTCATTTTTTGTTTTCTTTTTCTGCTTCTTATGTTTTCTACTTCCTATTTATGATTTTTACTCCTGTTTTCTGTTTTCAGAAAATCTTTTTCATGTTTATTGCTTATGCTTCTGCTTTCTGTTTCATTTTATGTTTTCTGTTTTCAGAAATTGGCCTTCTGCTTTTGTTTATGTATTCCTTTTCTGTTTTTTCTGAATTGCTAATTCTGATCGTCTACTTTTGTTATGCTGTCATTTGCTGATTTTTCTGTATTTGTTCACAGATCATTATGGATGATATTACTCAACAATCATCTACTCAAGTTGATTCTAACAGTAACATCCAAGTTACCGATGACACTCACGGTGATATTGATAAAGGACAAGAAGCAAAAAAAAAAAAGAAAACATCTAGAACTTGGGATCATTTTAAAAAGATTGATGGTTCCGATCCACCTCAAGCTAAATGTAATCATTGTAGTAAGAGTTACAATTGTCATCCAAGAAAACAAAGTACTCCATCCTTGCTTTATCATTTAGATCGTTGTAAATACTATTGGTGCAATCAAAAAAGATGGAGGGTGTTTGTAATAACCTTAGTGTTGCTAAATACAATGAAAAGAAAATTAGGGAAGCAATTACTAGAATGATTATAGAGGATGAATTACCATTCCAGTTTGTTCATGCAGAAGGATTTAGAGATTTGATGAGGACTGTTAAACCTAAATTTCCTATACCCTCTCATACCACTGTGATGAACAATTGTGTGCAATTATATATGATGAAGAAAAAAAAATTGAAGTATATGTTTGTCTGATCTAATCCAAGGGTTTGTCTTACTACTGATACATGGACTTCTATTCAAAATGTAACTTATGTGTTCTAAACTGCATATTTCATTGATAAAAATTGGAACAAATACAAATGAATAATTAATTTTTTGAAAGTTTCTAATCATAAGGGTGTGACAATTGAAAGGGAAATTGGAGCATGATGCTTGGGTGGGGGATAAAAGCATATTTACTGTTACAGTTGATAATGCTACTTCTAATAATGGTGCTATTGATTATTTAAAGAGATGAACTAAGGATGGAAAGAGCAATATCTTAGAAAATAAATTTATGCATGTTAGGTGTTGTCCACACATTTTGAATCTAATTGTTATGGAGAGTTTGAAGGAAGTGAACATCTCCATTTTGAAGGTACAAAATGATGTTAAATATGTGAAGTTTTCACCTTCAAGGCTTGACAAGTTTAAGTCATGTGTTGAGAGGCAAAAAAATGGTGAAAAGCGTCTTCTTTACTTTAATGTTCCAACAAGATGGAACTCTACAAAGCGCACTTGATTTATTGCTAGAAGATAATGGGCAATTTGTTAGTCAATTGAGTGAGTGTGGTAGTTTGGGGCCACCTATATTTGATGATTGAGACATTGTTCGTGTCTTTACAAAGTTTTTGACACTTTTCTATGAAGCCACTTTGCGCATTTCTGAATCATGGTATTCCATATCTCTACTTGTTTTTTTGAAAAACTTTCTACTGTATATGAACATTTGCAAGGTTAATATGAATGTGATGACTATCTTTTGAGTATTATGGCTATGAGAATGAAAAACAAATATGATAAGTTTTTGGGTTATTTAGATAATATTAATCTGATGTTACTTGTTGCTATTGTCCTTAACCCACGTTATAATTAGATATTTTAGAATTTTGGCTCAATGGCAATTATAAGATGAGGAGAAAGCAATTAAGGTTCAACTAGTTTAAAAGATAAAAGGGTCATTGATCGGTTATGCCAACAGTACACTAGATTTAGTGTAGGGTGAGGGGTGGGGTCAAGTGGTGACCATGAGAAAAATGTATATTCGGCTGATATATGTGTCTTCAAAATTAAGTACCTACAAATTTCATGAATAAATATCGCAAGTATCGAGCTGAGCGAGGTAATGTAGAGAACAAATCAAAGTTGGATCAATATTTGATGGAGGATGTTAAATTAGCTAATGTCAATTTTGATATTTTGAATTAATGGAAGGTTAATTCTTCTACATTCCCTATCCTTGCCCAAATAGCTCGCAATGTGTTAGCTATTCTCATTTCTTCGGTGGCATCAGAATCAACTTTTAGCACCAAGGGTCGTATTTTAGATCATTTTTGAAGTTGCTTGGCATCCAAAACAATTGAGGGTCTCATATGTGCACAAAATTGGCTTCGATCACCATCCATTTCTTACGACTT